TATGATTTAGTGTCGCCGACTGCTGACTCGCTGCGATTGCTCGCCTTGTGTTCATCACCCGTCATCCCACTCAGGATCTCTCATACTGATTATGCAAAAGCGCGAACTCCAGAGCTCACAAATCAGATACCTGCGTAATGTGACATGTGTGTATGGGATGCTGATGTGGTATGTGCAACTGACCTCATTTGTGGTCCTGTCCGCCACCCTTTAAGGACTGAAATGGATCATTGTGTGGGAGGTTAATGCGCTATTTTCTTGCTATATTATTATTATTATCTGGGATTCTGGCATAGACTCATAGTCGTCATCGAGGGCGGATTCATCCAGCAAAACATAAACAATAACAGTTGATTACATGCGGAGTACAAGCATGTCCATTAACTAGCACTAGCTGCACTACAGTAGGTAGCTCATTCAGGGTAAAGTGGGTATTCATACACTGTTACGTAGCTTGGAGTTAAGGTACTCTTTCCTAACTGAGAGGTGAACTCATCAGATTAGCCATAGTTCATGCAAGCATACAGAGCGCTGTTGGACATGATAGCACTGCAGGATCTTGTGGATAGCCATCTATTCAATCTATCTATTGTCTTATTTTTCATCCGCTTGATTTTCCCGCGGCTAGGGTCTGCAGTGGCCAGATACTGACTTATGCCTAGGTACTAGTATCTCTTACCGACAGTGGCTGGACATGTAGCTACCTAGGTGACTGCCAGTTTGTTGACCGCCACCGTTTACAGCAATCAGGTGGCAAGTGATCTCAGACTATCAGATTAGTAAAGATCTCATGACTGCTCGTTGGACTGGATAGCTCGACATACGGAGTAGGTTCGGCTGGACCTTTCTTCTGTCTACACAAATCAGAGCCATATCCATCAATAATGAAGCCGAATTGTAAAAGCAGAGGGTACGGAGTACACAAGCGTCATACTCAACAGCAAGCATAGACCACTCATAATATGAGCAGCGCCCATGAGCTCGCTCCTATTATTTCAGGGATATTCTGATATGAGCGTGGTATGAAACAATCAGAGTCTTCGGATGCATAGTTCTTCTTACTGTCAGACCGACGCCTGCCAATAATTTGGGAGGAACTAATGAGGGCAGGTAAGGAGGATCTGTGTCACGGTTCATAAGTACTTACGGAGTACTACTTACTCTTCCATGGTGACACAAGAAATGATACCAGGGAAGGATCTTCGCATCATATATTGAATAAATACTTTTCAAAACCAATAATAATGATCAGAAGCAATACTGCCGCCTTGTTTCGACCTCGGCGCATATCTATATCATATCTGATGAGGATGCATTGATCCACATGATCCGCCGTACTTCGCATCTGGCCATGAGGTCCATGACAGTGAACCAGTGGCTCTTGTTCTTGACCAGGGCATTGTATCAACAATTATCATCATTCATCAGTCAAGAGGTAAGGCTGAAGACCTGCAGAATGCACCTCTCACAGATGGTCAATCAAGAGGTCTGCACTCATACTCCATGCTTTGAGGCTGTCGAGTAACCCGAATACTGTCCATCGCTGTTGCATTGCATATTTCGATGCACGATCAACCCAAGCCTGTATTGTAGATCCATGCAGTCCATTATTGCCAGTACGATCTAATCTTGAATCATAGTAACTACCGATCGTGATCATTAGCATTAGATAGATAACAAGCGAAAAGAACTGTCGCCTAATTCCTACCATCTTCTATCTTCACATGACCCATTTGGACACAGAGCCATGTACTCGATGGCCAATATGCGTACTCAACAGCGCTCGTTGCTAGGATGAGTGATACATACTACTGCTCGAGTGCCTTGGACACCATGAGACGACCCTGTGTCACCTATGAAGCACTATTGAGTATTGACTCACTGCCACTTAGCCCATCTAACCAGACTTGCCATGTGCAAATTAACCTAATACGGGGCCAGCGGTACACCCGTCCTACCCATACATGGACCATGGTACTACGGAGTACGGAGTATGGATAATCAATATGCTTAATCTTCTGCATTTCAATATCAGCTTTTGACTTATTTGCTTCCAAGAACAATTTACGACCTGTCATAACAGGGAGCAGATCAACTGAAGACAGATTGGTTCAGGTACTTTTTACTCCTGTGAGATTCAGATGGAGTCCTGTCTGTGTATGGAGTACTGTAGATATGAGTGCCTTGGCAATGTGCTTATGCTAGGGGAGAGGGACAGATCACATTTGTTATTCAACCTATGATGTCCTTTTTTTCCGTCTTTAGCTCTCCCTGACATCAGCTACGATTGCTTTGTTGACTTGTCACTCTATTCAGGCCTTACACTGTTGCTCATAGGGATGGCTGACAGGTATCTATGACAAGCAAAGAAAATAATGCCTGGAAATTGGAGAGAAAAATTGACTGAAAATGAATTTCTGAAAAGGTCAACAGGTAATGTGTGTTTACTCAGTACTGTTACAAACAGGAGAACACAGCAGACTTTGGAGTTTGGGCACCCGGACATAAGAAGGAAAGGTGTGTGACCAGAAAAAGATGGGCTAGACCTCAGGTGGGTGGCAATAACAGCTAGTAAAGACCAGTTCTTAGTAGTAGTAGCTCCTGGCTCAAGAATAAAAACTAGGTACCTATCATGTACGGACTAGGTAAGTAGCTACCATATCATTGGCAAAGCTGGCCAGGATTAATGGTTCCGTCCAGCCGGGAAAAGGTGAGCGGATTTTGTATGCGAATTTTCGACTTTTCGTGGGTCTCCTGATTGCGCCGGGTCACTCGGGGAATGCGGATCCCCACTTCAGTATAGGCCCGTCCCAGCTATCCGAGAAACCGGTCATTGTTCTAGTCGTTTAGTGGTCGGTAGTTCTGCTAGTGTAGGTAGGTAGTGAACGGTGAAAGGTTCGCTGGGGAAAGAGGGGCGAAAGAGGATCCTGTGGTGGAACCACCTCATCTGCGACCCGTCCTTGAGGTGAACAAAAAAGAAAAAGAAAAGGGAAATTCAAAAATGAAGACAGAGTCACACTAACACAGAATTGTCAGACAGTTGGAGACTCTCTCTGATGCGCAACAACTAATGTTCTGTACTACACTCCTTATTTGCCACGAACAACATCATTTTCTAACCATGATGGAGAATCTTCAGACCACTATCACCACTTAGTGGTACCTAGTCAGATCTAGGCGTCGAAGCCGCTGTGCTTCTATGACCTTCCAGAAGGATTTAGATTAAGGAGACAGAAATTATGTATGAGGGATTTTGATGACGGGAGATTATCAAGGGGAGTTACTGATCCTTTGCCATCCCCTTCTTTGCCTGGAAAACCGGAGAGAGCTCACAGAAGCTCGCTGCATCGCGGGAGTCCCCGTCCTTAGCAGTATCAATTATTATTAAACCGTTAGAGGAGACTAACCGAGATTGTCAGGTCTCAAGAGGAGGTACCAACCGCGGAGGATCAACAGAGCAGCCCCTGCCAGACACGGCTCGTCAATTAGACATGCTTCTGGAATGACACTAGACAGATCCTTACCAAAATTGCCTGAAATCTTGAATCTTGAATCTTGAATCTCATGGGTAATCTTTCGTTGCTGCTGTGACCACCGGGATATGACTTGCTCATTCCGAGCGAGAGGCCAAACCATCGACGTTTGGACGCTGTCATCCCAAACGGATGGATCCAACTGCACAGCATTTCGGATCTCCCTGTTCCCTGGATAGACCGTACAGGACCCATCATATGACAAGTGTTTGCATACGCCTCGCGGCTATTATTGGAGTAACCAGGTATTCCCAGCCATGCTCAAGTAGTAGACTACCTACCTACCTTGATACGCCGTACACCATATGGGTTGTGTAAAGCGTTGATTGGAGGAAATGAACATAATAATCACGTGTGCGTTGACCTAGGGATAGCGTTCAACATGAGCCGTTTGCTGCTTCCAACCCATTCCATATGTTGGCTCAGTCATGTTTGCGTCTGGTACGCCACTTCGAGTTCTGATCTCCTCTGTAGCTTTCGAATAATGGTTACTTAGTAGACCAGAACTCAGTTGACCAGAAGCCAACCAGGAATTCAGCGATGTGGTTTGAAGGATGTCGCAGCTACCTAGGTAGAGGCCAGGAAGTTTAGCTACTATCCTGTGAGCCCTGCTTCCTATTGTTATATAGGCAATTCATATTCCTTTCTGCCCTCTCTTGTCCTTTGTAGCTAATATTCCTTCTTAGAATCCTGTTCCTAACCTCAAAGTCTTTGATGAAGTCTTCATGAGGATTTTGAATACACGTCGACTTTGCTGTCAGAATTGATTGGCATCTGCTCCGCCTGAATGACTTTTGTCTCACATCGAACTCCTATTAGTCGATGTTCCATTTTTTGTTTGATTGCATCCAGCTTGCTTGCTCTTCAGTCATTTATGCTCGACTTACTTTACAGTAAGTCTACATTCAAAGGAATAATGCCATACTGTTGATGCATCTATGCCATAAAGGATACTAGCAGATAGTCAAGATGGATTGATTGCCCCAGATACAAACTCGTTAATCACATCCTGAAAAGAACAAAACTAAGTATCAGGTGCTCCTAGGTCTGTTCTGCACAGTAAGGTGGCTGCTCACTGAGAGAAAGAACACATAGAGCTTCTCTTTCCGTCCTTAACTCTCTTCTTACTGAGATGCAGGCAGACCGGCACACGTTTCTTCTGTTTGCTGTGAATTATCTTTCTTGTAGCCACCCTTTAGCATCATCTTTCAGTTAACAGCTCAGAATGACCATCTCTTCTATTCACTACATTGGATTTGTATTCACCAGACTTCATTAGCCTGGACTGAAGTGCACGGAAACATCCAGAAGTGTTGGTGAGCAGTATTTATGTCCCCAGGCCACCATCTGCCTCCTCTTGATGTCTCTTCCTTGAACCGTCTGCCTCGATCCCCTCTCTCTTCGAGCCACTCACTCCTTTACCATTCCCAGCCCCTACCTTCCTCCTTGAACAACCTTCAAGACAAGATGCCTCCAACCTTTCGAAGTGCGTATGCTGGAGGCTACAGCGATGAGATAAAGAAACGGTAGGTGTCATTCCCCATCTTTGCTTCCAGGTACCACTGAGAAGCTGATGAGAGACTATTGCCTACCAACAACACCGAGAAACTGATGGAAGGACAACTGTAGGCTTCAGAGTGTCAGCATACCAGAGAAGTAAGTCATCTATCCGTCGCTCGTTCGTCCCTTATCCATGCATTCAATTGACATAGAATAGGATCAAATGTGGAACCTGCAACAAGTTTCGTTCGTCGAGTAACTACTCCAATAGGCAACTCGAAGCCCTCCGTCATGCCATCCTGAGTCACGGTGCCAATGTCGCTTTGACGAAGAACAACACAAAATGCCGCATCTGCTCGGGAAATCAGACCGTTGAACTGAAGTGCTGTATCTGTGATAAGATCAAGAGTCTTGATGAATTTGCCAAAGCTCAAAGACAAGACAGGGACGCAGCGGTAGGATTACTGCCTCAGGTCTCACTTAGTGGCTAAGGATCTAGCTGACATCCGATTCTCTCCCAGAGATGCATGAATTGCGTGCAGAGTCACGCCGATGCCGAACCAGTTCTCGAGGAGCCCAAGCTCTTGACTGAGAGTGAGCTTTCCACTGCCCCCGATACGTACACAACTGTCAGTCATACAGACCCATCCTCAAAATGATCCACGAATGCATACACCCTGGTGCTAACATAATTTTAGGGACAAGTTGAGTCTCGTTCCTTGATCGCATCCACCAAGAAACTCGCTCCCACTGCTCAACATGTTATCAGCAGCGGGGAGAAAGACACCGATGATGTTGGCGGCGTGTCGCTCATTGAAGGTCATAACGAGAAAGAGAACTCGGCGCGCCCAGGACGACCTTTTATGGCTTTTGACCCTGATGGAGTGGCCCACCGCCGCTCTGGCTCCCCCTCTGGCGCCCCCCGGTCCGTTCACGGCGGGTGGGCGTCATGGGGAGTGGATGTTAATGCTACCGTCACTAAAGCCATTCCCAAGAAGGCCGGTTCCTCCAAGTTCGCCAAGGTTCCGGTAAGTTCCTTATGTATCCCTTGTTAATGAACAGTTTGCTAAATTCGAGAAGGGGAAGCGATTCGAGAAACATGAGGCTCCTACGATGAGGGTCCCCGAGCCAATCGGGGCCACCGTCCCTTCCGACGAGGAGGCAGGAGAAGAGGCCGGGGCCGAAGACTATCTCTAAGCAATTCTTGATCTTGCGGCGCAGACTCATTCGATAAGTTAAGTTAGAGAAACTAAATGTTAACTTTCGGTTTCGTTATTCTTGATCAATGTCCCAATGGCCACGGTAGGCTGAACCACGGTACTAGACGGCTTCCTCGGTTTCCCCGCAAGGACCAAGAGTTGGCTTGCGAATTCCATGGTTTGAAAGTGTGAAATTGTATTGACTGCTCTGTACTACCTGCCAACAGCGATTCGGGCGCTCGTGGATTGTCATACTATGTAGCAAGCGGTGCTGATGATGTGCGTATTCAAATATCTCTTCGAAAGACCTCTAGCACGCTGTACTGTATCGCAGACTCATCAGTGACAAGCAAGGCGGAATGTTATCATGCCAGGACAAGAGTGCAGCCTTGTCAAAAACACATTTAATGTACACCGACAGTCATGCTGCTGATAATCATTAAATTAATATGTGTTTCCGCTGAGCTTCCCCTCTTCTGCAGCGGCGCTTGAGCGGTGACGTATGGCCCCGTGTTGGAGGCTGAGATTAGCCTCGCAAGTCAACGTCGCTGCATGTCTCCATCGATGATCCTCCTTTTCTTTTGATTTCCATTGTACGAGGGTAGATATTTACAGAACTGCTTTCTTCATAGCATCTTGCTAGCGACTCAACACGACACACTTGCTGTTTCAAAGCGAAGATCCACACTTTCTGAGCCCCTCCATCTTGAGCCCCTCATCTCATTTGACACCTGCGCAGATATCTTTCTCAACTTTTCGTCCCACGCCACACATAACACACCGAGAGCTTCGTCACTTACTGGTATCGCCAACAGAATTTTCCGCTTTCCCTGATCTCAGAGTGTGGCTCAGGCTTGGTGAAGATTGTGACACTTGCAGAGGGTGGAGAGTCGCTAACTTGTCTGTGTGACGGCGACAGTCTGCATGGCTTACGATGGCTTCCAAAGAAGCTCCAGTCCGTACGACCAGGCGGGCAATATAGGTCAAATAAACCCCAGTGATTATCGTTCTCCGACCTACCCTCCTCCCTATCCCTCTCAGTACGGCCCTGATCGGGTGAACATGCCACAGCCCCAAGTGCCTCCGCCGGCTCCGTCGTCAACTCAAGGCCAGTATGCGGAGTCGCCCTCTCAGCAATACTCATGGCATCAGCAGCCATCTACGGGAACTATCAATGAGGCTGTCAGCTCGGCTTTCCGCAAAGCTGATACGCCAACCTATCTATCGCCTGAGGTCCTGTCCCAAATCACTGCGACCGTGATCCAACAGCTCAAAGCAACCGGTTTGGATAACGTCCAAGCCCAGCATCCACCGCAGCCGCAGCAACCATCGCCGCAGCCACCATCCGGTCCGGCGCCGTCACAGTGGGTGCCTCCCCGTTATGCTCCCCAATACAATTATAACGAATACGAATCGCCTCCTGCTGTACCACCAAAGCCATCTTCGTCGCAACCGGGTGCCGCCCCCGAAACTTCCGACTACCAGCAGTACCCGCCACCTGGTACATTTGCGAGCCCTCATCCTAGCGCACGACCCTCCCCCGCACCTCCCTTAGAGAGGAGAGAATCGCCGTATAGCCAAGCAAGCGATCAAAGCCAGAAAATGGAAGCACGACCGAGACCACCGTCGAGGGACGCAACCGTGACTGAGATGACAACGTTGGAGAAGATATGGGGCAAGCTCTTTGAGGACGGCAAGCCAACGAAGAGGCTGGGCCAACTCTTGCGCGGCATAGCAGTCCATCTGGTAAGCACGGATGCCATCGGTTGGGCGATTTCGTATCTGACAGTGTGCAAGACCGAGGACTACCCTCCAGGTAACACTCTCGTGGTCGTTCCCGAAAAGCTGCAGAAGTTCTACGAGGATACCAAGGTTCCTTCAGACCTCTACCCATGGCAAGGTAAGCGTAGTGACCTGTTCTATTCACAACTCAAGCTAATCTGGGTATCTGTAGATATCTTCGATGACCGTACGTCTTCGATCTCGAGGTTGTTTCGTGAAGTAGAAGCCGAACATCACCTTGTTCAGGTTAAACTGAACGAGCGGCCGGATATCCCGGGCTTGACGCCACGAGGTTTCGAACGCTGGGCTACCTTGATGATTCAAGCGCACCCCGACAGAGAATACGAACGGTTGCAGAAGGCAGTCCTGAACATGCCTATCAACAACCCAGATGACAGACGAGAAAGATTCCCAAAGGAGATTCCTCGCCGGCTATTCCCCGAGGCACCAGATCTTACCGTTAGAGATGAGCTCGATCGATTCATCACAAAGCATTGTGGTGTGGACTTGCCTCCAGTCACCGAGGAGGAGCTCAAGAAGGTCGCTGCGCACCGCCACAAGGTGTCTACGAGCTCAACTGCATCGGCTGCCGAGACAGCTCCTTCTGTGACAGAGCGGGGCCGTCAGCAGCACCACACGTCCTCAGCCATAATGGATGATGACGAGGAAGAGGCCCGGTCTCGGCCTATTGAGCGTGAGAGGAAGCCATACAGTGCGCAGCCAGGGGGAGGGAAGGTATACGAGGAGCCAGGCGCCTCTTCCCACCGACACAAAGACTCCTTCTCCACTGGTTCTCGCTCAAAAGAGGGATCTGTCCCTCCTGTCTCCCGCAAAGCATATGACTCATACGGCCAAGATCCTCTGTACCCCCGTGCAGGAAGTCGCGGATCGCAGCGTCCAATAAGTATACATGGCCGGACACGGAGCTCTTCTCGAGGTGGGCACGGAGGAGGTGACTACAGACATTCAGAAAGTGACCTGCTGTCCAGCTCGCACAACGTTGGATCTCGGCACTCTGGCCTCTCCGGCAGTGATTACTACTCCACTTCATCTACCCTTCCTGGAGATATCATCGAAGATAGTCGGCGGTACCGCGATAGTGATGACCAGAGGCTGTACGAGTCACTTCGGGAGAGGGAGAAGGAACGCGAAAAGAGCAAATATCATGACCATCTTCCTTCCCGAAGCAGCTGGGCTAATGAGGAAGAATACTACCGCGGCTTGCTTGGCGGTCAGGGTGGTGGCCCAGTCAGTGGCAGCAGTGGCGGGTACGATTACAAGACGTATACCTACAGGTGATGGTCTCGATCAGATTGTCTTTGAACCTCATTGCTATCCCGGCGTTTTCCAGTCCTCGAAGATACCTCTGTTTGATATGATAGCGTTTGCGTTTGGCTTTGGTTCTTTTCCAGCTAATGACTTACGTGTAACGATCTGCTGATATGCAATGGATTTTGGATTTATATCTGTATATCGTGTTTGCGCCTTGAGAAATCTTGATGAAAACGTCCATCTGGATGTGCGGTAGTCTATCAGTCGTCATTTCTCATAAACGTACATGTACACTTTTCGAACACCCGTTCTATATAGAAATTCCCACTCTCATAATTCGCTGCTTATGTTCATGACGCGCTTTCGCTGAATATAGCGCATGGCCCTGCGCCCAGCTTCCTGACACTGAATTGCCTCTTTCTCTCTCAGCTGCTCCTCACGTTCCCACAGCCTCTGGATCCGATGCTGGTCCTTCTCCTCACGCTCTACACGCTTCCTATGCCTCCTACGCGCTCGCTCCTGCTCCTCCTCCACCTGCTCCGCCTCCGCCTCCGCCTCGAGCCGCAACCGCTCGACCTCCTCCCCCGTCAATTGCCACGGGACAGTCAGCACCTCAACCAGGAATCGGCTCCGCTGATCCACGAACCGCATTTCGGCGTTCGTGTCCCGGATCAGGAAGAAGCGCTCTAGCTGTAGCTGCATCGCAGCTCGGAACATCGTCAGCGTGCCTTTCACCTGCACCACGGTCCCCGGGACGAGGGCCGATATGTCCAGGTCAGTTCTGTTGGTTGCTGCGACATGGCGTGTGGCCTTTTCCGGTGGCTGTCGTTGCGTAGTCCGGTCTGCGGGGTCCGGGTCTGAGGACTCGGCTTTCAGGACGGCGATTTCGATGGTCTCGCCGCTGCTGTCGTCTAGTGTGAGGATTGTGCGTTTGAAGACGTCTGTTCTGGCGACGATGATGCCGACCAGGGACACGAAGCGGATGGGGTGGTTGAGGTAAAAGAAGATGTTTTGGCCTGGAGGTGTGTTAGAGTCGCTACTTTCTGTCTAGTCAACTGCACCATGTTCAATTAGGCTGAGCAGTATGTATGTATCTTAAGCCATTTTGTGATGGTGACAAGCCTAGGTAGGTATTCATGCAGGTTGTATATGGAAGACATTGGTAGTCAACACCGATCACATCGACTACTTTGTGTGCAGACAAAGAGGTAAATAGAGCAGTATAACAAAAGGGAAAATGCACCCAGTAATGAATTATCTAGACAAGTACGCTGGCATACCTTCGAATCCCGGCCGTCTCTTGAGTCGATGCACATCCACCGCCGCCATTTTTACCCAGGCGAAATGGGTCGGGGATGCCGTAAAGCAGAATGCCGGGTAAAACGCGAGATTGCCATTCTCAGCTGTCGCCATGGGATCATTTTTCTAAGCAATATATCGAGGAGATATTGTTGCAAGATGTCAAGCGGATAGCAACATATTAGAGAAACTGCATTTTCCGATGCGTGTTGGGGTCACGTGAGTTTTAACGTATGGGATTCTGTAGATCGATTCTCGGGTTGCAGGAACGCTGCGGAAACTACTCTGTATTCCGTAAAAGTAGCAGAGAAGATGATATTATTGCTGAGATACAGAGCATATAAAGTAAGAATAAAAGCAAAAAGAAGAGAGATGACAGGCCCCAAGCATAGAAGTCTGACGCGCTACCATTGCGCCACGGGAGCTAACAATGTGCCACTCCCGGCGGGGGTCGAACCCGCAACCTTCAGATAATCCTACTGATAGCAGACTGCGCCAAGGGACCATGTCGTGCTGAAACGGGGGAAATAGTGTTATATAATCCATGTCATTTTGTCGTGGTCTCTGACAGTCCGCTGAGCACCATTGACAGATAAATTGATTTGGCGCGCGAGAGACATGTTATAACTGGGGTGATATGAATCAGAATGGTGTGGTTCACACAGTGAGTGAGTCGACTGGCAGGTTTGTTTTCACGTGATCGGGTCTCCCTGCCAACTGGTGAGGAAGAAATCAATTCCTGTCTGTCAACAACTATGCTAACTCACTCTCAGTCATCTCGGACATAACTGACTTATCGTAATTAGAGTGTCTATCTCCAATCTCCGTCTCCAATGTTGACCGATATGCTTCGGACGCCTTAACGTCACCATCCATTCTAAGACAATTCGAGGCCGAAATGCTGGCCTGCGTCCGAAAATATTCGGAATTTTTCAATATGAAGTTGACATCATGGACTGACAATATATAAAGCAGGGGACTAAAACACTCAGGACCTACACCCTATTCAACTCTGCAGTTTCAAGTCAACCTTCACCATGTCGGCCATCTCGATCAAGAAAGGGCCAATTCAGCTTGCTGGCTTGCTGCACAAGCCTGCGACATCGTCCAGCTCCAAGTTTCCTGCAATCGTGATAGTACATCCTGGTGGTGGCGTCAAAGAGCAGACGGCCGGTCTCTATGCAAAGAAGCTCGCTCAAGAGGGTTTCGTCACCGTCTCCTACGATGCCTCTCACCAGGGCGAGAGTGGAGGCGAGCCTCACTTTCTGGAGGACCCAGCGGCAAGAGTCAGCGACGTATGGAGCGTCGTCGACTACCTCGAGCAGCAGGAAGACGTTGACGCCAGCAAGATCGGTATCCTCGGCATTTGTGCCGGCGGAGGCTACGCCGTTGCAGCCGCGAAAGCAGATTATCGTCAGTACTCGCTACAGTCAGTATGGTCAACATTGGCGATTCCGCGCGACTAGGCTGGTACGGTGACGAACCTGCTTCTAAGCATGTCGAGTCCCTCAAGATAGCTGCTCAGCAAATTTCAGCCGAAAACCAGGGCGCTGAGATGGCTGCTGCACCGTATGTGCCGCCTCAACCAGACGACAAGACTCCCGCAGATCTCAGAGAAGCACACAACTATTATCTTACACCGCGCGCGCAGCATCCCCGTGCTGAGAACAAGATGCTCATTCGAAGTTTTCCGCGTGTCCTCAACTTTGACGCTTTCCACCTGGCGGATGTGTTCTTAACGCAGCCCACTCTCCTCATTGCGGGTGAAAAGGCTGGTTCTCTCTGGCACACAGAGAACCTGGACAAAAAGATAGGAGGGGCCACGAAGAAGGTGATTGTGCCGAATGCAGCCCATATGGACTTTTATGACAACGAGCAATATGTCAATCCGGCGGTCAAGGATATCTCGGAGTTTATGAAGGCCAATCTGTCATGATGAATGGTATACTCCTTTTTGTGACTTTGTCAGCTACCTATGCTCCAGTAATCAAATTTCAGTCTTTGCATAATCTGAACCATCCGGGATATTCCATCCCGCTTGAATTTACCAACACCCAACGGATCAGTGCTACTGAAATTCTCGGAAGGAGTTACGTTCCAACCGGGACGTACGCTTCATGATAAATTCGCGACAGATGGGGCATATGCCAGTTCTTTTCGACTAAAAGAGGACTCGTCTCCACGCTCTTTAGCCGGAGCCAACTGCCTCAGCGCACTATTCCCACATCGACGCCTATGGCTCTATGCAGGTGGTCAAAACTGATCAATGAATGGCTAGTTTTGGAGTGATTTATTGGCTATGAGAAAGTCCTCCAATCAGTCTTCTCAGATTTCTTATGATGTAGCATCACTGGCCCATTTCGGCATGTCCATCTACGGAGTGCAGATCTTTTGCTTGATCACCAATCGTGAAGCATACTACTCACGGGTTTACCCATATGAATGGGCTATTTAGCCTGAATCAACTGCTCTGACGGAATGCATGTCGCATCCAAATGGACCCTGGCGTGCAATCAACTTCACCGTTATGCCAGTTGTGGAAAATGGGCGGATATATCTCAGTTTCCCCGCATTTGTACATCTGGGATATAAAAATACGGTCCAAAAGCAGGGGAGGGTCATCGATGGAGGGCAATGGAGCTTGATCGGCACTGATACTCGATATCCCTCATCATGGGGTTGCTTTCAAAGATCTCTGCCAGTTTGCTCTTGGCAACAATGGCAGCTCCCAGCTTATCCTATCCCATCCGTGATCAATCGTATACCAATCCTCTCTTCCCTGGTTGGCACTCGGATCCCACCTGTGCCTACGTACCGGAGCAGGACACCTTCTTCTGTGTCACATCCACTTTCATTGCCTTCCCCGGTCTTCCTATTTATGCAAGCCGAGATCTGCGGAACTGGAAACTGGCAAGCAATATCTTCAATCGGCCCAGCCAGATCCCAGACCTTCGCATCACGGATGGCCAGCAGTCGGGTATCTATGCGCCCACTCTGCGCTATCGCAACGGCAAATTCTACTTGGTCGTTTCGTACCTGGGTCCGCAGACCAAGGGCTTGCTGTTTACCTCGTCTGATCCGTGCGATGACGCCGCGTGGAGCGATCCGCTGGAATTCGGAGTACATGGCATCGACCCGGACATCTTCTGGGATGACGATGGGACGGTCTATGTTACGTCTGCGGACAACAACATGATTCAGCAGTACACACTCGATCTGAAGACGGGGGCGGTTGGCCCGGTTGACTACCTCTGGAACGGCACCGGAGGTGTCTGGCCTGAGGGCCCGCACGTGTACAAGAGAGACGGATATTACTACCTCATGATTGCAGAAGGAGGTACAGAGCTCGGCCACTCGGAGACCATGGCGCGATCCAAGAACCGGACGGGTCCCTGGGAGCCACGCCCTCACAACCCGCTCTTGTCGAACAAGGGCACCTCGGAGTACTTCCAGACTGTCGGTCATGCGGACTTGTTCCAGGATGGGAACGGCAACTGGTGGGCCGTGGCGCTGAGCACCCGGTCAGGGCCTGAATGGAAGAACTATCCCATGGGTCGGGAGACGGTTCTTGCCCCTGCAACTTGGGAGAAGGGTGAGTGGCCTGTCGTCCAGCCTGTGAGGGGCCAGATGCAGGGGCCTTTCCCACGACCGAACAAGGGACTTCCTCGCGGTGAGGGCGGATGGATCAAGCAACCAGACAAGGTTGATTTCAAGCCCGGCTCTTCGATTCCGGCGCACTTCCAGTACTGGCGGTATCCCAAGACAGAGGATTTTACCGTCTCCCCTCGGGGCCATCCGAATACTCTTCGGCTGACGCCCTCCTTCTACAATCTCACGGGAACTGCAGACTTCAAGCCGGATGATGGCCTGGCACTCGTTATGCGCAAACAGACCGACACCTTGTTCACGTACACTGTGGACGTGTCTTTCGACCCCAAGGTTGCCGATGAAGAGGCGGGTGTTACTGTTTTCCTTACCCAGCAGCAGCACATTGATCTTGGTATTGTCCTCCTCCAGACAACCGACGGACTGTCGCTGTCCTTCCGGTTCCGGGTTGAAGGCCGTGGCAATTATGAAGGCGCTCTTCCGGAAGCCACTGTGCCTGTTCCCAAGGAATGGCAGGGACAGATCATCCGGCTTGAGATCCAGGCCGTGAGTGACACCGAGTATGTCTTTGCGGCAGCTCCGGCTCGGCACCCTGCGCAGAAGAAGGTCATCGGCCGTGCCAACACGCTGATTGTCAGTGGTGATACGGGACGGTTTACAGGTAAGTGTAGCTTCGAAACACTTAAACCAAGTGTTATCGCTGAATAGTGACGATTTTGACATAGGCTCGCTTGTTGGCGCGTATGCCACGAAGAACGGTGGTGCCGGGTCCACGCCAGCATATATCAGCAGATGGAGGTACGAAGGACAGGGCCAGATGATTGATTTTGGTCGTGTGGTCCCGAGTTATTGATACTCTTGTCGCTGAGACCCCCTTGGCAACGCTTGGAGGTTTTCGGGACGAGTTGCGTAGTATCTCAGATTAATGTGGAAAACTAGATATAGACCAGTAAGCAACAAAAACAATATATAGTGCGCAGACTCGTGAACTCCTCATCTAGCATCTTCGGGGGAAATTACCTTGCATTCTTGTTCATTTAATCTCACTATCAAGGCAATGCCATTGTGACCGTTGACTTGCTTGCGCGCTCCACAAATGAGTATATACTATTAATACAGACACATCATTATAGTTAAAATGGCCCAGCGTCCAGCATCTTCTTCTTCGGATTTCGAGGTATCTGCGCCTGTCTCTGTCTTTCTTCATCACTGACATCGTCCAGGTTAGTCTCTACCTTATCCAACGCAGCCTTGATCTCCTCCTCCTTATTCTCATGCCCTGCCGTAGCCACCGTCAGAATCTCCTTCTCCAGCCCATTGACAGCCCTCCACTGAATCCCAGCCGCAGTCATCATCTTACACCCCTCCGACTCCCCGACAAACGTCCCGGGCTCCTTGACCCCAAAGTACACTCTCTGGATCCCCGGCCGCCCTCCCTCCCGCGTGTTGATGATCCGCTGCACACACGGCACATTCCCCGACAGTCGCTTCCCGCATGGTTCCATCGTCACGTACATGACTAATTTCCGACCGGGTTCAGAGGGGAGGACCTCTGCGATTCTGTCCTCGGGAACGGAGTGGACGGCTGCATAGTTGGAAAGACAGCATTGCTCTGCGTGTGTGTTGCCGGCTAGCTCCATTGTGTAGCCTGTCGAGAGGATGCGATCATCTTTGAATTCGAGATCGCCGTCTTTACGGGAGAGGAGGATCGCGCCGACGCGGAAGTTGGTTGGGCGGGGAGGGGACTTCTCTGCTAGGGAGAGGCATTGGCGTAGGTAGTCGAGGTGGGGGGATGCGGTCATTTCGCGACGGTCGCTGTGAGTATGAGTAACTTGAATCTGAGCTGGTAGTGAGGTGAAGTTTCACGAGAATGTAGAGTCGTAGATGATTGTGCTTCTTTGATTCAGTGAGCAGCAAGAATAATGAACAGCTACTGGTGATGGTTGAATTACAGCATGTCTACTCGGTGGAGGAGCTCCAAAGACAGTGCAAACTATGACGAATTGTGATCAGCTATCCCCAGTCTAACCCGATGAGGTAGTCCAAGTGGTTTTGTGTCGCGTCCAAGTCGCGTTTTCTCTCAGCCAAACATCCAACCCATATCAAAACAACCAGTTGCTTGACTCTTTTTTCATCTGTTTCACATCGATTTTTGGGGTTCTTTGGAGGCTCTAACACCATTTTGAACCATATCTTGCCAGTCTTTCTTTCTATCTCCTTGCCCTACATCTACTACGGAAAACACCAAAAACAATGCCTTCTGATTCCGAGGATGTGGTCGAAGAGAATCACGACGCAGGCATCTCTTCCGACGAAGACGACGGAGTGCCTCGCCCTGTAGTTGCAACCGATCTCTACGAGGTTCTCGGTGTCAAGGAGGATGCGACTCAGGACGAGATCAAGTCTGCCTACCGGAAGCTGGCCTTGAAGCATCACCCAGGTAATTGCCTTGAGATTACCGCACAAACACAACCAGTGAGTATTGGACCGTGTTACTAACTAGTTTGTCAAAGACAAGGTTCCTGCCGACCAGAAAGAGGAAGCGCATACCAAGTTCCAGCAGATTGCCTTCGCTTATGCGATCTTGTCGGACGAACGGCGCCGCAGGCGATTCGATCGCACCGGCAGCACTGCGAAAGCGGCCGCCAGCGACGAAGATTTCGACTGGGCAGAATTCTACAGAGACCTGTACTCGAACTCGGTCGATACGGATGCGATTGACAACATAAAGAAGGAGTATCAGGGCTCTGCAGAAGAAGAGAAGGATATCCTGGAGGCGTTCGACCGCCACAGAGGCGACATGGACCGCGTCTACGAGTCGGTGATGCTGAGCAATGTGCTCGATGATGATGAGCGGTTCCGCACTATTATTGACAAGGCTATTGCCGAGGGCAAGGTGGAGGGTTACAAGAAGTACACAGATGAGCCGGCGAAAAAGCGCCAGGCGAGAATCAAGCGGGCGCAGCAGGAAGCAAAGGAAGCTGAGGAGCTGGCCAAGGTGCTTGAGGAGAAGAAGAAAACGAAGACAGAACACAAGGAAAAGGCCATGAAGAAGACGAAGTCGAAGAAGATCTCTGATCTTGGTGATCTCGCTGCCGTTATCAAACAACGACAAGCCAACCGCATGGAGTCGCTCATAGGCAGATGGCAGACAGAGGCGCTGACGCTCGAGGAAGGCGGCAGCAAGCGCCAGAAACGGAAGGCTGTTTTTGAGGAGCCGCCCGAGGAAGCATTTGCTGCCACCGCTGCTCGACAGGCTTCCAAGAAGAAGAAGAAGTCGAAAGCATGAGCAGACTACTTAGGATCTCCCCCCCTTTTTTGTCTTTTTCGACCGGCGTCCGGAGTCTTTGGTACTTGGGCTCTACACAAACCCTTGGAAAAAGGTGGACATCTTATGGCAGGATTGCATATCATATTGCGTATCATATTTTGAGCGAACTCAAGTTAACCTCCTGGGGTTCTTGTGATGATCATCGCTAAGAATAGCATCAGATTACATACGTAGCAGGACGCAATGCCAGATCATCATTGATAATCACCCATTGCCATCATATCAGCATACCTTGGTATTTGCTTTTTATCAGGCACCCCTAGATTGCCCCTGTATGGTTGATCATTTTCGATCCACATCCAGCATGCGATGCATTATTAGCGGCTATCTGCCCTACGTTGATAGATACACAAATAATAGAGACGTGCCATGAAAATCCTACACTCACAGTATGCTTTCAAGGACATAATATTGATTCAATCTGAAGCTATTATGATATATGATGATTGCCTCTGCTTATTGTATTTGTGGCTGTAAGAGAGTATTGCCTGGAATGCTACCCTTGGGCAATCAGGCTTCACTAGACTGTCCATCAGTTACAAATGGATTGTCTTCATCATCACCAAGCCTTGTGACACCATGCAAGGGATATCTGTAGAGTGAAGATGAGAATCCTGGCTCACCTCTTCTTCTGGAGAGCAGAGCAATAATTGCCACTGCCTCATGTGCTTTGTGATGCCCCGCTATGCCGAGCCTTTTGGATGTTGTGCCCGACTGTTTGTGACCGCGGGCAGACCCTTTTGTGTTCCTCCCTTTTCCTCTAGGCAGACCCCTTTTTGTATTATTCAAGACCCCCATGATCCTCTCATCTTTCCATCGCATAAAACGCATCACTTGTGTTTAATTCATCTCGATCTGTCCAGGCCTACGTTGCGCTTGTCTCCGCGGCGCTTTCCGACTCCTTCTCTTGGCTTGTTGCGGAGAAGCCGCGGGTGATTCCTACCGCGTTTGTGACGGACAAGGAGACCCCCTTTTGTACGGGAGCTCGTTGTCGCAAAATTCCCTCGCGACTCTCTGCGTCCTCTAGTTACATCTATCTATTTCCGAGACTGAGAGCAGAGAAAACAGCGCCACTTGTCTGCAGCCCCCTTCCGTGTTGTGGTTCTGCCGGACCACACGCGCGCACGTGTGGAGAGCATCGTCAGCCAAGCAAATACACTTGTTGGCCTGTCAAGGTCTCAGCCTTCAGACTTCTGGACTGGAGAAAGGCGAAGGGCTTCTTCTGGTTTTGAATGCGGAATTCGAATACGTATACATCAGCCAGAAAGGCGGGACTGACAAATCGTCATTGACTGGTCGATCTCTTCTCCACATTCCTCAGCGCTTGGCCAAGTCTTGCAAACAATAAAGCATATTATCAATTATCTAACCTGGGGTTGTCCAACCGTCGCGGGCGGAACCAGGGCACACAAAATGGCCGCATACAATAGTAACGCATACAACAAGACCAAGAGACGAGCCAGGTCGTCTCTGGCGGGTGCTCTGGAGGCAGAGCGTCTTGAATGGGTCGATGAGCGTCACGAATCCGGCCCGTCGTCTAACCGAAGGACCCCAGCCCCAGCGGCCCCATTGCGGAGCCTGCTAGACACTGCTCCATCTCCTGATATCTTGCGTCCGCGCCATGGATCCATCGCCGGTATTGGGGTTGGTGTGACTTCTCCTTCTATTAATCGTCGCAGCTGGGCAGGTCCTGTTTCAGAATCATCACCGACGCCAGCAGCAGCATCGCCATCGCGCTCTGGTGCTCCAGGGACTGCTACATCATACGCTTCTTTGAAGAGATTTCCCGGTGAATCAGAACCGTCTGCAGCTCGCAGGTCTTCGGACAATTCGGATCAAATATCGATCGGAAAGAAAAAATTAGCAGACCGAAATAAAGCCGATGATAAACAATCCAACGATATGCCGGTGTTACCGAAGCGTACTATTCAAATACAGTTGCCGGAGAAGCCTCCCAGGGAGCCCAACCACAACAAATCATCGCAGAGCAAGGGCACCATGGCTGCGATGATGGCAGGATTCGACTTGAAAGTCAGCCTCCCAAGTTTTGCCAGAGGAAGGACTCCCGGGCGACAGAGCTCGTCGCGGGGGACATCACTCGACTCTCGGGTTCCCCCACGACGTGCTCGGTCCGGCTCCCAGAATCGCTGGCTGAGCTCCAATCCGCTGAACCTTTCATCCTCAAAGCCGGGCAAGTCGGCGACGCTCAAGGGAAAATCATCCTCCATGAACAACACACATCCCAATCACTCCGATCCCGCTCTTCCGGAGTCGGTCAGCGCTGACACCAGTGTGGCCTTACCCCCTAAGCAGAGCGAATATCCAGAACCTGACGTTAACCCCGCTACATCCACTGGGGATGAGCGCTTGGCCAAAGATCTGTATGATAGCGAGAACAACCCCATGGAGAGCAGCGAAGATGAACCCGATGAGTCTTCGTCGAGTGACGACGACAGCGATGGTGAGACCGAGCGTGGCCGAAAGAAGGCTCCCAACGCAAGCGATCAAGCGCCTACTTTAGGGCAGGTAGATGGTGCTACGGATGAGCGTATGTATTGCTTTATTGGGATTCCTATGGCTTCCGCATACTGACAGAACATTACACAGACGACCAAATGATTGAGGAGAAGTTGAAAGCAACGTCCCTCTCTGATCAAAAGCCTACTCTGGTGCACTCTGCAAAGCAGGGCCCACATACGCTTGATGTTCATCCTCGTACGAGCTTTGATCCTGGCTCTGCCATCAGTACGCCATTTGGATCTGATGACGAAGCGGAATTGTCGGATATCAAACGAGCTCAGAAACTCAGCATGCAATTGTCCGCTATTGACAATTCAGTCCCCAACAGATCGATTAGAACCATCATTCGAGGCGATTACGCCCGACTACAGGAAGAGAGTGAGGGCGGACGTCGCCGGCAGCGCAAGTATCTAGTTGCCACTGACCTCAGCGAAGAATCTGTTTACGCCCTGGAGTGGACAATCGGAACCATTCTCCGGGACGGGGACACCATGTTTGCTGTTTGTGCAGTTAACGAGGAGATGGGCATGCCCTTCGCATCGTCGGTACAAATCGGAGAGGGCGCCCAAGCAATGCAGGACTCAGCAGCCATTGTTGGTTCTCAAACAGAAGAAACGGTTTATAAGTCACAGAATGATTCGATCAGCAGCAACTTGCCTCGTGCCTTGTTGGGTCGTCTAGGACAGGGCACGGATAGCAAACCCAGCTCTGTCGATGCCCGGGGTGTGCCCAAGGGCGAAGGAGAGAGAAACCGTGCGGTGGAGATTATTTCGCAGACCTGTGTCCGTTTACTCAGAAAGACCCTTTTGCAGGTTCGAGTTGCCGTCGAGGTAATTCACTGCAAGAGCCCAAAACATATGATCACGGAAGCTGTACGTACTTGTGTCCACAAACCCCGCCTGTCCAGATTTACTGACTAGTCAACCGCTAGATTGACGGTCTTGAGCCAACGCTTGTTATTGTGGGAGCTAGGGGCCGAAGCGCTCTGAAAGGGTGAGTCGCTCGAGAGGGCGAGTCTGCATCTACCTGAAGCTAATATAGTGTTGCTTGAGCAGGGTTCTCCTTGGATCGTTCTCCAATTATTTGGTCATGAACTCATCTGTCCCGGTCATGGTGGCACGCAAGAAATTACGAAAGCAGACGAAGAACAAAAAGACAAATGTTCGTCTTTCCAATAATCTTGCAACACCAAAGAAGCTAGCTTTTGCCAAAGTCGACTAAATGGCGATGGGCCTGGCTTCTACAATACTTTCTACGGTGGTGTCTTCATGGTGGCATGGTGCATGACGGCGTTCTTCTCACATTCCCATAAAGATGGCCTCTTTTCTTGATTTGTATGATTACGATCTACTACCATGGGGGGCTATGATGATTTTTCTATCTGCAATCTGCTTTCGCTGGCTATCTTTTACCTTGTTGTCTTTCATTCGTCCATGTCGTGAGCATCATGCTCTATTGTGTCCCAACATTTTATGTTGTCAGAGTGTGAGGATATCATCGTACAGGGCTGAGCCCTTCAATAAGAAAATCTTGATAATATATGACGAGAATTCCTATAGAATCCATCAAAAGTCTCGAAAGAGATCATCTTGACGCTGCGGAAGAGCATCACGTGCATGCGTCACCGCCCAGCTGGAGCTGCGGGCGTGGATCCCTCATCGATCAACTACTGACGACTACTTGGCCCCCCCGTCAGGAGCAGCTCTTCCTGACCTTTCATCCCCCTCTCTCATAGCTTCCTTCAGCTCTTAACGGTCGTCCGCCAAGGATCCTGCAGCCATGGCCGAATTCGTCGACCCGAGGATGACCAACATCAAGCCTCGCATCCGCTACAACACCATCGGAGGTATCAATGGTCCGCTGGTCGTCCTTGATAACGTACGTAATTGGCCTGGGATCGCAGCGTTGACGCAACCCTACCTGCATTATGAATGGAATGACATGCTGATACTATCCGTGACAAGGTCAAATTCCCCCGATACAATGAAATCGTCTCTTTGACTCTTCCCGACGGGACAGAGCGGTCGGGTCAGGTCCTTGAAGCTAGAGGTATGGCTTTACTCCTGGCGTTCAGTGCGATACATCCGCCCTCTTCATGACGGCTGATATCTGGGACGAATTATTAGGCAACAGAGCAGTTGTACAGGTGTGAATCAACCCGATAATGCGATGCTATGAAGCTCGGTTTTTGTCATGCGGGGTGCTCATACGGTTTTGCGACTTACAACAGGTTTTCGAGGGTACTTCGGGCATCGATGTTAAAAAGGTAAGGAGTTGACTTGTCGAAGCTGGATCAGCTGCTGACTGCCGTCGTACTTAGACCAAAGTCGAGTTCACCGGCCACAGCTTGAAGCTCGGTGTGTCCGAGGACATGCTGGGTCGTGTCTTTGATGGATCGGGCCGTGCTATAGACAAGGGTCCCAAGGTTCTGGCGGAAGATTACCTGGATATTAACGGTCAACCTATTAACCCCTACTCGCGAGTATGTATCCGATCTCCAGTCATGGGCAATGACAGGGCCTGCAGGGTTGTGAAGCTAATGCGTCGGAACTCCAGGTCTACCCCGAGGAAATGATCTCAACCGGTATCTCCGCCATTGATACGATGAACTCGATCGCCAGAGGCCAGAAGATCCCCATCTTCTCTGCGGCAGGTCTTCCACACAACGAGATTGCCGCTCAGATTTGTCGCCAGGCCGGTCTGGTCAAGAAGCCCACCAAGGACGTCCATGACGGGCATGAAGAGAATTTCTCGATCGTTTTCGCAGCTATGGGTGTGAACATGGAAACGGCCCGTTTCTTTACCCGGGATTTCGAGGAGAATGGCAGTATGGAGCGTGTCACCCTCTTCCTCAACTTGGCCAACGATCCTACGTACGTTTCCCTGTGCTGCTTCGGTTGTCTGCTTTGTTTGATTAATCGTTTTCCAGGATCGAGCGTATTATTACTCCTCGTCTTGCCTTGACCACTGCCGAGTACTATGCCTACCAGCTCGAGAAGCACGTCCTGGTCATCATGACTGATTTGTCGGCTTACTGTGATGCCCTTCGAGAGGTTTCCGCTGCACGAGAAGAAGTCCCTGGTCGTCGTGGTTACCCCGGTTACATGTACACTGACTTGTCGACCATTTACGAGCGTGCTGGTCGTGTTGAGGGCCGTAATGGATCTATCACTCAGATTCCTATCCTTACGATGCCTAACGATGGTAAGCAGATGCGCGAGCAGGTTCTCTTGCATTCGTTAGCAGTTTGTACTGACTGCGTCCTCTTCAGATATCACCCACCCCATTCCCGACTTGACAGGCTATATTACCGAAGGACAGATCTTCGTCGATCGTCAACTGTACAACAAGGGTGTCAACCCGCCGATTAACGTCCTTCCTTCTCTATCACGTCTCATGAAATCTGCTATCGGCGAGGGCCGTACTCGCAAAGACCACTCCGATGTGTCCAATCAGCTGTACGCCAAGTACGCTATTGGACGAGATGCCGGTCAGTTTTCTTTCACAGAATTCCCGAGATCAGTATCTGCACGCATACTAACACTTCATTCACAGCCGCCATGAAAGCAGTCGTCGGTGAGGAAGCCCTTTCGTCAGAGGACAAGCTCTCCCTCGAGTTCCTGGACAAGTTCGAGCGCACCTTCATCAGCCAAGGTCCCTACGAATCGCGAACCATCTTCGAGTCCCTGGACATCGCCTGGAATCTGCTCCGCATCTACCCCAAGGAACTGCTCAACCGTATCCCCAAGCGCACTCTGGACGAGTTCTACGCCCGCTCCGCACGCAAGCTGCCGGCCAAGGACACAAGAGACAACTCCGCGGAGAACGTGGGCGCTGCTCCTCTCATCGAGACCTAAAGAATCTTCCATATAGCGTGTGTCATCGTTGTCATCGTTGTCATCGTTGTCGAGGTATGCGTGGCTTGTCCTCTGTCTTCTCGTACTCGATGAGGAGAGGTGTGTTTCCATTTTCTTCTTTCTCCGAACATCTCGTCCTCTTCAGCTCGCCTTGTTAAGCTTTCGTCCTTGAAACCTTGCATATACTCTGTTTTCTGTTATCACTTATGTAGGTGTATGTCACACAGTATAAGTCCGCTCGATATTTGTCGAATCTCTTGGAAATAGGATATATCCAGATAGATCAAACGTGCGGGGGTAATACTCACGGACAGTGTGGTGATGGAATACGAACTACTCAGTAGGCGTGGTTTCCATGGCCTCGCGATCAGTATGCAAAAAAATAACAAATCTATTTGATCGATCGAGCTTTTAGATACACATGCAATCACATGAGGAACCGTCCAAGATGATAAAAGCAACCCGGAAAAGAGGATGAATCATCAGCGAGCTTTTCTCATCGCCGATGCTATATATAAACTATACCGTCTTTTTTTCTTTTAGACGGGAAAAGGACCGTAAGTGCCAAACGTCGCTCATAAGCAAGATAAGTGAAGGGCCAAAGATCATGACGGGGAGCGAGCTTAGAACCGCAGATCCCAGCCGATCTTGGGACCCAGACGGGGTAGCTCGTCAGCGACGCTCTGGACGTCTTTGTCTCCTCTGCCGCTCAGGTTCAGGACGATGTCACCGGTCTTCATGGACTTGGCGAGTTCCATTGCGCCCCAGACGGCGTGCGAGGACTCCAGGGCGGGGATGATGCCCTCGGTCTGGGCGAGGGTGCGGAAGCCGAGCAGGGCCTCCGCGTCGGTGGCTGCGATGAAGCGGGCCCGGTCGCTGTCCTTCCAGGAGCTGAGTTCAGGCCCGACACCGGGGTAGTCCAGACCGGCGGAGATGGAGTGGGTCTCGGAGATCTGGCCGTGCTCGTCCTGTAGGACGTAGGTGCGGACACCGTGCAGCACACCCTTGCTGCCGCCGGTCAGGGTTGCGGAGTGTCTGCTTGTGTCGATACCGTCGCCTCCGGCCTCGACACCGACCAGCTTGACGCTGGTGTCCTTGGAGAAGGGGTAGAACATGCCGACAGCATTGCTGCCACCGCCGACACAAGCGACGACGGCATCGGGGAGTCTGCCGATAGCCTCCATCATCTGCTGCTTGGTTTCCTCGCCGATGACAGACTGGAAGGTGCGCACGATGGTGGGGAAGGGGTGAGGTCCAATAGCGGAACCGATAATGTAGTGAGTGGTGTCGAGGTCAACAACCCAGGCACGAAGGGCCTCGTTGACGGCATCACGCAGGGTTCTGCTTCCGGCATCGACGGCCACGACGGAGGCTCCAAGAAGCTTCATCCGGAAGACGTTCAGGGCTTGACGGCGGACATCCTCAGCACCCATGTACACAACACACTTCATGCCGAACTTGGCACACACAGTGGCCGTGGCCACACCGTGCTGTCCAGCACCGGTTTCAGCGATGATTCTGGTCTTGCCCAGTCTCCGAGCGATGAGAATCTGACCGAGAGCGTTGTTGATTTTGTGACTGCCAGTGTGGTTGAGATCCTCACGCTTGAGCCAAATGTTGGCACCTCCAACGTATTCGGTGAGGCGATTGGCTAGATGCAGGCTGCTGGGTCTGCCCATGTATGGGTAGTAAGAGCGGAACTCCTCCCAGAACTTAGGGTCATTCAGAGCTTCTTGGAAACCGCGCTCGAGCTCGGCCAAGCAGTCCATGAGAGACTCGGGCACGTACTGTCCGCCAAATTCACCGAAGCGCGATGGCTGAGCAGCAGGGTTACCAGTGCCATTGAGAGCATCAAGCTGGTCGGCCAATCCAGGACCCGCAGGAGTATCGGCCTCGGTAACGACCTCGGTAGGCTGCGAGACAGCCGGAGTCTGAGCCTTCTCCACGGCCTCCAACACGTTGACCTCACGAGTCAAGACACCCTGAGGATCTCGCTCGAGCTTGCGGCCAGTGACACTCGACAAGTACTCCTCGGCGTGTTTAGCCGCCTGACCGGCAGGGGCCTGACCCAGGACGGTGATGATCTGACTACCAATGACAACACCCTCGGCGAGTTCCTGCACATTCAAAAAGTGCTCCCGAGTGCTGACACCGAAGCCCAGAGCAGCGGGCACGTTACCCGACCATTGGTGAACGCGGTTTAGAAGCTCGGGCAGATTCGAGCTGAGCTTTCCCGTCGCACCGGTGACACCCATTCTCGAAACGACGTAGATGAAAGAATCGGCGATCTTGCAGAGGAGCTTCATGCGGGACTCGGAGGTGGCAGGGGCAATGAGCGGAACGTAAGACAGACTATGAGAGTAAGTTAGCAACATTCACCGGATTGAAGTACAGATCGCGCGCCTCCCGGAGCCTCCCAAATGAGACACAGAACTTACCCATTGCTAGCACACAAATCTCTGAACCGCACCGCCTCCTCGGGAGGAAGATCGACCATGATGAACCCATTGACACCAGATTCCCTGCAATCCTTGAGCATACGCTCCTCACCATACCGCAGGACAGGGTTATAGTAGCCCATCAGCAGCAGCGGGGCCTTGAGGCCTCTGCTTCTAGCTTGACGGACCATGGTCAGAACTGTGGTGACCGTGACGCCATTGGCCAGAGCCTGGGTGTTGGCCTTCTGAATGGTGGGGCCATCTGCGATGGGATCTGTGAAGGGAATGCCCAGTTCGATGATATCTGTTGAAATTCGATGAATTGCGTTAGCATTGAGTCTTCATGGTCAGGGAGGCGAATGTGAGGGTGCCGGCGGGGCAAAGACCATACCTGCGCCTCCATTCTCTAACCCAAGGAGAATGTCAACCGTCTCCTCGACGGTAGGATAGCCAGCTGTGATGTATGCTACGAGAGCTGCGCGCTTCTGCTCTTTGCACCTGGCGAAAGTGCTCTTGATGCCTTCCATGGTGTGTGAATGGGAGCGGGGAGCGTTCTCAATGTGAGGGGCGGATCTTTAAAGTTTGAAGAGGGTCGGGGACCAGAGGAATTGATTATCGAGAGGGAGAGAGATGGAGAGGTAGTTCCAATTATACCGATTGGAGGCAATAGATGGGGAATGGAGAGATTGAGAGGAGAGGGATTGAAGGGGAAAAGGTCAGGGTCACACAGCGTCAGTCTCAGTACTGCTCCTGTTGACTCACTCGCCGCCGTCCTTTTCTTTTCGATCGATGCGCCGATGTCCCGCCGGTCAGGTGACCCCCCGATAAGATAAGACCTGGCGGAGAAATTCGTGCGCTGTATTCCCGTTACCATACCGTACACTCGTTGATATCCTTATTGCCTTAGAAACCGAAGGCATCCTGAGGCATCCTGAGGCATCCTATCCCCATCTTGCACCCAACAAGAACAAGAATAAGAATGAATCCAGCCCAATAAAACAATCAGATTATTTTCTGTATCCATCTGACATAGCTATAACTAAGACAATTGACGAAGATGAACTAATTACCAGAACCGAAAACGCAGAATGTCACAGACGCCTAGCTATGCATATAAGCTGGACAATCAAGATGCCAACATCGGCCTCAAGATGCACGCAAAACCAACAAGGACGAGTATGCCGAATGCCTGTATATTCAAACCAGATGCCCAAATACACAGACCGGCGGTGAAAAGGAGGAACAACCCAACCCGACTGAAACCACGAAATCCTTGTGTCCCTTCGCCAGAGTTGTCCGTTATTAAATCCGTCCCATAAAAACACGATTTTCCAGACCTGCGAAATGCAAAAGGAACGACTGCAGCGCCATGCAATGCCATATAGTGTACAACCTTCGCAAGGAGTGGAATCAAAATGCCCGCGCGAATTTCCAAACTGAAAAGGAATGTACAACACACCGTCTAACGTATGCCATGTCAGAAGCTCAGAGAATCAACAGCGAAAAAGAACATTCCGGGCATCAAGACATCAAGTATTCAAGGAGAGACATAAGATCATTGCGAGTGATCATGAATAAGCGCCGTGGCTAATACCAAAGGAGTGACGAGAAGAACCGAGGACGAGACTGTCGCGCAAAGAATAAGACGAAAACAACCAAAACCGAATATAATGTAAAACAGACCAAAACGCCGGTAGATGCAGTGGGGAGAAGGGATATAACGGACACCTTATACGCTCACAGCGACCAAATATCATGGAAACATAGAGCGAGACAAGATGGAGAATCAAGACCCGTGGGAAGGATCGGGTAATGAATAAGGCAAAGGAGCCAGATAGCTATAACTGGGGGCCGCACTTGCCGAAGGATGATGGGCAAGGCTGTTAGGATCCCATGAGGGCCGACTGACGGGAGCTGTGAGTGAGAGTTGGCCCTGCTGCTGACAGACAGCGGGATATACGAACCCCGATGTCATACTATGATACGGTTGACCGACAGCAGGTAGCACAGCTCGCAATTCAGACGTCCCTGTCATGGGGGGACCCGAGGAACCAGCGGGCGGAGAGTAGGCCGGTGTTGCGATGCTATGACAGTAGCTGCTGGACGGAGCAGCATCGGAAACTGACTGGGGAGAAGCTGCAGTGTACGGCTCCGTTCCCGAGTCCGATGCTGCTCCGTTGCCTGCGAAGGTGGAACTGATGGGCGTTGGCAGCGCCCCAGCGGTTGACGAGTAACTTGCAGACTAACCATCGAACCCGTGCATTAGTCGATGACTCCATAGCCGAGGGAAATTCTGAAGGAAGTACTTACGTATTTTCCAATGATCTTCTTGAGGGCATGGCTGAGTATCTTCCAAGGGAAGACTTTCACATCCTTCTCAATATTTCGAGGTTTGGGGGCGGGGAAGCCCATAATAACCTTGAAGAAGTCTTCACTATCTGCTTTGGCTTTGGAGACGGTGAGGGGTCGGAAGCCCTCCAAATTTCTGCGGATGCGGTTCTTCTCCTCCACCGTGAAACGAACACCGACAAGGGATTCAAGAAGGTAGATGGTGTCCACGCT